CGGTCGTTCTGGATGCTGATCAGTGGGGGCATTGTTGTTGCAGGTCCGCAGCCTTCAACGTGCGCCGACGGTTGGTTAGAGCAGGCTGCAGTGGCGCAGTTCGACAAATAGCATTGTGTTTTGGTGCACGAGAACGGGTTGCTAACTTGCTGGTCCTACCACCTAAGCCTTCAATTTCCAATGTTTGCAGAACTGCGCTCGGAAACAGCTTGGCTCCCCGCCACGGCAATGTTTCACATTTGTGTACATTTGTTATGTGTTCATGGGCCGCTCAGCTGAGCAGGCACGGTTGGACCAAATTTCGTGCTTGTTATGAAGGGCAAAAGGAGCAACGGTCCGCCCATTTTAAAGTTCATGACCATATGCATGCGAGAACAAAACGGTGTTTGCATTGTGGATGTTTTCCCAGTGGGGCAGCCGGCCATAATGGCTCACGAATGCTGGTTGTGCAACTTGGAGGACTTGGTCAGCATCGTGCAGCTCTTTGCTAAGCGGCTTCGGGCAAGGCTCAATCAAGTGGTCATGCCAAACCCTTTTAGAACTGTGATGGCTTGCAGGATGATGGCTGCCAATGGCCCTTTGACGCCGGTCGCTCAAGACATTGCATCGCCAACGCAATGAGCATGTGCCAACGTCCAAATTGCCATTCTGGTCCCAGCGAGAGGGGGGGGGAGCCCGTGCTTTGGCATTGGCATTGGTCTTGGCAGAATGTCGGCTGCGAACCAGGCTTGAACCTGGTTTGGCCATTGTTGATGCTGCGGTCTTTTCAAGAAGCACTTGAAGCAGGTACATGTCAGTTGACAGATGTCTGTGGCAAGGCCTCGAAAGTTGTGGGAGCGATTGCCACGGGGGGTATAGCATTCGGACGCTTGGATTTCTTTCATTGTTTTTGAAGCCGTGTGAGTGATGTGCATGAAACACACATGCTTGCAAGATAGGCTTTTACTGGTTTGCAAAGCCACGGCTGGAAGCGATGCTGCTTCCAACGCCGCTTGCACCACGCACCACGCTCGGCGCCTAGCGTGACTCCGACAAAGCGGCAAAGCGGCAAGATGAAGACCTCGTCACAGGTACAGCGACGAAGACTTCGCTGCTTGTGCGCAATTCGCGGGGTCGCGGCCTGGTTGGGTCTACAAATTGGACCACCGAGGTGGGCATGGCGAAGCTGGAAAATGTGTTTTGCATGAGCACAGCTGGCGCCGCGGAGGGTGCCGGGGAGTAGATAGTAGTTACATACATCACACAGTTACTCCACACGAATGGATTTCACATCGTTTGGCCACGGCTGGGCTTGGCAAAATGGTCTGCGCAAGTGCTAACGTGGCGCCAACACTTTTTCTGATGTTGTTGGACAAAGTTTCCTCACTTGAATCAATATATGAGCAATAAATTTAAGCACGTGTTGCCGTGCTGTCGAGACTGTGCCCAACAACAAGTACGAAGCTATGCGAAGGAATGCTATTTTTTCGCAGTTTGTGATTTTCGCTGCTGCACGTGCAAGCTTGCCCTTGAATGAGGGACTGATTTTCGTTGTATGGCTAATTTCTTTTCATTGGATTTTTACCCTTAAGCGGATTTTACTTTGCAGCTACGCAAGTGGATTAAATTTGGTTTTCCGAATTGGGTTGAATTGATTTCGAATAGATTCTAATTGTAAGAAGGATGCAAAACTAATGATTCCGAACACATTTTCCATTATTCAAGGGGGTTTTCCGTTGCTCCCAAGACAGATCCACTCACGATAGTCCGTAAGGGGCAGCTCAGGAATCAATGTTTCAGTCTTTAATTTATCTTCAGTTTTCAGAAGCATTTCAGGGCTCGGAATAAGCATCCTTGTTTTCAAGCAGCCTTGCTAAGCACGTCGGGCTGACTTCATAATAGCAGCCACGAAAGAAAGCTGTCAATAAATATGCGAAAGTAAGGACTCTGAACACATTTGGGGTTTCCATAAATCTAGAGCAAGATCCTCTCACGCCAGGCCCGTAAGGGGTAGCTCGGTAAGAAGAAATTCAGGTCTCGGAATCAGCATCCTTGTAAAGGTTTTGAAGTTTTGGGAGAGTTGCTGCCTTGATGTATTTTTGAAAATCTTTCCGCACCCCTGCTGACTGACGCGAGGTCTATGTTCCGGGCAGTGCAACTGTGAATCCACGACTAGGCCTCTAGAAGGATGATAGGCTGATAGGGTAAGGAGATGAATGCATAGTTCCCAAAGAGGCATTATGGGGGTTATTGGAAAAAGAGGGAGTGCGCCTGGCAGGATGGGTAGCACACGCTGTGGGCCAGGTCTGGATGCATGGCATGGAGCTTTGCCCCTGGGTTTGGCTCAGCTTTGCGCTGGTTTTGATTGGTGTCGCGCGGTTCTGGGCCTGCGGGATGGGCAAGGGATATGGGGGTTATATAGGGGATATACAGGGGTTATGTCGGGATTTGTGATATAGGGATAATGGAAAAGAAAATGGGAGCTACTATTTAGGCAGCTGGGGCCCACAAGTTTGAAATGTGGGCAAGCGTGTTTTGATGCGTGGCGCGGCTTGGAACGTGATCCTGCAAATTTGGCTGGCACGTGGTTTGGTTGGGTCATGCGGGTCAGAGCTGTTGGTCCGCGAGCACGCAGGTTGAAAACACATTAGAGTGGGTTGGAATCCAATTCAATGCAATCTACTTGAACTATATATTATCAACTGAAGTCTAGTTGAAATCAAGTTCAAACTATGTAACATCTAATTAGAAATACTTGCAATTTAATTCAAAATGAAACTCAATTGAAGCGTACTTCGAATCCAAGGACAGTCACCTAAGATATCATGAGCATCAGTGCAATATCTAATCAGTATTTATGTAGCATCAACTTAACATCGCAATAAAACCAATTACGATCTACATATCGTAATAAAATGAACTAGCATTTACTTCAAATGAAGTAAAATATTAGGACTAACAAAAATTCAAATTTTCCTTCTTTTGGATAATTTCGTGTTACACCATAATGACCTCGGAACTCCCTATTTACTTTTTGCGAGCACCCCTGTTGAAAATAGTGTTGGCCCTTAGAAATAGTCTTCTGTTATCACGGGGGGGATATTCTCAAGCTTCCGAAAATTCTTTCTGGCTTAATTCCTGACTTCCTGGCATCAGGACCCAGGTAGATGCGAAGACTAGCACTGGGGCCAGACACTGCATTGAAGCGCAACAAAAATCAGACGCGAAAAATAAACTCTGTATTCTCCAAGCATTCTAGACAATAGTTTCCAATAGTGATCTCAATTGCAGCCCCATATGCAGAACGCGGAGCCAGCGCAGGTGCATGACACAGCATCAAGGCTGGACAGCATGACGAGGATGTCCGCGTCTAGACAGCTAACACCAGCATCGGGGTCCCCACACCGCGATTCAGCCCGACATCAGGTCGGCTGCGTCGAAAAAATGGGATTGCTCTTTATTGCAACTCTTGGATTACCCTGGATGAAGCATACACACGCTAACACTCACAATTTCATAATGTGGGGGCCCGCGCCGCGGCGCGACACAGTTCCGCTTCCCCACAATGGCTCAACGCTGAAGCGTTCCAATAATTGCGATGAAAATGCCACTAAATAAAACAAAACACAAAATAAATTGTCTATGCTTCGGCGCACGAACACACAGCATTGGGCCCCAACAATGGAACAACATCACGGCATCGAAGAATGAGAATAGTGTCTGAGAGAACTCTCTAGCTGCTGCTTGGCATCGGGCCCACGTAGCGGATCAATACTTTGATGCTTGGCAAAAATTGTAACATCGCATTCTTCATTACAGCTTGTACTGCGAGTCTTGAGTGCTTCTAGGCCTCTAATTATCGTCAGTTTTACGGTCAAGCCTGACATGTTATGTTTCATTCCAATGCTGAGTAAACGTTTGCCCGCCAAGCCGTGGTTTGCATAGGCACTTTCCTAGAGCATGGGATATGATGATTCTCGGCTTCTTATGGCCTGACCTGACATCACTACTTGGCACCATGGTCAATGAACGGAAAAAATTGTTCCAGCTCTAAAGAGAGATCCCCACCTCGTGAAACCTGAAAGAACCTATCATTCATGTTTTCCTTGTCAGCGACAAAATGACTGAAAAGGGCCGGGTGGCAACGGAACAGCCAGCACCGAAGCAATGAGAGGGCTCAACAACTTCTCGGCAAGAGGACTTGAGATACCATGAGTTGAAGTAATCTTTGGCGCTGGCAGGGCCTCAGATGTGGTAGTCTTCCGACCTCGTGTGTGCGTAGCTTGCAGCTAGCTCCACATCACGGATGTCAGGCCTTGGCTACTACAAGGACAAGCCCTCACAGACGAGCGAGTGATGCCCAGTGCAGAGTTCACCACCCTTCAGACGTTTATGTTGGTGATGGCTTGGCCCGAGTGTCTGTGGTCCAAGAGGAACATTCCGCAGCCTGCGTCGAACTTGCCTTTCGAACTTCGTGCAAGAACTGTTTCTATCAAATAGCCGTGCTGCATGCCCAGAGGCTGTTGCCGGCACATAGGGCTCATGTTCCCCATGTAGTTGAGATGATTTGTGTGCAGACTCTGCCTTGGCTCAGCAGTCGGGGCGGAGTAAGGGGTGGCAGGAATCAGCAACTGCATAGGCTTTGTTGGAGGTGCAAGAGTCGCATAGGTGCTTTCCCCCATTGCCTTTACAAGGGTGTCTTGTCTGTACATAGTTCATGCAGCCGGGATCTAGCCCGGATTACGTAGTTGCGCCAGTATGCATGCTGAGGCTTTATGAAAAGAATGTGGATGGAAACGCTAGGGTACAATTGGCGATATTAAGAGCTTGAATTCGAGAACAACCCCAAGCCGCTTTGGTTCTGATGGGTCTACATGTCATTCTAGAACCTTGCAAAACCCAAGCCAGCTTGCCGTTGCACGGGGGCCCATGCAGGGACCAGCAGCTGTAAACGGTCTGTCAGGGAAAATGTATGTGCGGCCGTGGTGAGGCCGAATTCGCTTTATGAACCTTTGTGCGAGATGACGTGGCGAGCCGTGATCTCATTTCAGCACTGGAGCCAAGCCACTTTATGAAATGTCTTGTAAATGCTGCCAGATCACTGGGCATGTCCTTCATGCCGTGTTAAGCGTCGACGAATCCCTCGACAACAACGGACTGCCTGTTCCGAAGGACTTTGATGCGAGTTTTTCGCAAGCAGCAAGCATGTAACCCGCAGCCGGACGTTGACAAGCAGAGTGCTTTCAAATTCTGGCAGGAGCCACAAGGTCAGGTCAAGATGTTAGTGCAAACCAACATGGAGACGCTTAGCAGCATTGCAAGCCACAGTTGTTTTGTGCAGAGTGCCATTTGTCCACCCGCCCCGGCCTGTGTTGCCGGAAAGCCTGGCTCACGTTGATCAAATCCCGCTCCTACTTGAAGGGCGAGATGCTCGCATGAGGGCATGGGGTCTTTGCAGGTTGGCACCTGCAAGGCAAGGTGCCAACTTACTGTTTAGGTTGTGGTCTGTTCCTTCTTGAGCCCATTCCGTCTTTGCTGTCCAGCTGAGGTTAAGCCGCAAGCTGAATCTGATGCGCGCAGCTCTCGGCACATGTCCGTGTTCCGTGCAGCAGCAACGGCGCTGAGATTTTGCTTTGGAGGCCGGGATTATCTTCGAGAACTGACATCCCACAGAGACAAGCAGCGTAGTCGTCTCAGGACATGAGGAGTCCATGAGAGAGGCGCTACATGTTTCTTGTTTTCGTCTGTGGGAGGTAGCATCAGTGACGAAGCGCAGGAGGTTTTGCAAGATCTGCAGGCAGATCGGTTGTGGCATGAAGACAGTGGCCGCACTTGGAACTACATGAGATCAACAAAGCCAGGAGCATCCTGTGATGTTTTTCGAGCCGTTGAAGTTTGTGCTGGCAGTTGCCCAAGATCCTTGCAGTCGAGCGTCAAACTGGAAGCCATGCTTGATTTCGTTTGTGCACAATTTGAGCCTCTCTGCATTGAAAGGATGACGTGACGAAAGAGTTCATAAAGTTGGTGGTGGAAGAACGGGCAAGACTGCTCAGTGGCTGCTTGCGCTCAAGTCATTTTCAAGTCCACGCGGCAAGTCACCGCATGCGATTGGCATGGCCAGCTGTGAGGTTTACAGCTTGTAGCCAGACCTCTTCTCTCCAAGTCCTCAGTGTTTTCCTCATGTCCATGGTCCCTGTCATGCGTGGCATTCGCAAGAAAGTCACTTTCATTCGAAAGTATATAATATAAGTGTACCCCCCGCATGCAATGGATAGCAGCTCTGCCAGTACTTGCTGGTTGTTGGACTGATGGCCGGACATCGTTCCCGCATTATCCTGGACGACGTGTCTTGACGCTGACAGGCCCATGCCATGAAACTCACACCTGTTGCCCTGCAAGTCGTGTTGTGTAGAGTTCGGCCTTGCTGGTGCTCCCGTTCAGCTGAAGATGGGTACAAGGCTGCTGAACCTTGCAATAGCCAGGATCCTGGGACTTTGCATTTCTGGGCGACGTGTCATTTGAATCCGCGGCTTCCGTCCGGGAGGAGGACTTGCAGCGCCAAGTATCAGTACCTGATCCCTTCAATGCAAGGCAGGTTTCGGGTGCATCGCAAAGCTTGCACGTCTGAAGCTTGCCCCTTCATGTTTTTGCAAGGGAGTGGCTATGTCCTCTGCACACCTGTCCAGAGTTCACGACCAAGCCATGTGCTCGATGCTGTGATTCACGGCTTGGAGAGAGCTGCAGCATTGACAAGAATTGCTGTGATACGGCTACACGGCGGCAAAAATTCAATTCCTCAAAGTTGCACCCTGTGAAACGAAAGGCGGTAAGCTTGGAAGTCTAGGTTGCGATTGGACGATTGGGAGTGGCAGCCTATCGCACCTACCTACCGGCCTCGGTAAGCTTGCTGCTTTTCCAAGCCTGTGCTCTACGTTGCGCGGTTTACTTGAATCGAACGCTGATCTCAGAGACCCTCGGTTGAATTGCGTAGGATGACGTGTGATCTTGCAGGTCTTCCTTGTGTATACATAAGTTGGCTGATGCAGCAAAAGCCAGGCATGTGGGCGGTTACAGCCCATTTTGGGTTAACCTTGCTGACTTCAGCACCAACGTTGGCATGGGAAGCTTTAGCTCAGCATCTCGGCAAAAGCAGCTTTTGGCATGTAAGAACGCGCGGCCGTGTTAACCAAGGAGCTCTTGGTTCTGGCGGACAGTCGCTTCACACCAGAAGTCCCTTTGCACCAACGAACCTTTGATTGGCTTCAAGCGGGAGGCCGCAGCGAATCAATGCTGCACCTGACTGCAGCATCACCAATCTGTATTTGTGCAACTTTCTCACGGTCATGAGCTGGGCATGATGGTTCACAAGTCCAGAAACCCTAGTTTAAGTGCAGAAGTCTGAGAGTGGAAGCAGAAAGTGACGGGAGCTTCAGAATCTCGCGTGATTTGATGAAACCAAACTTTGTTTTTGTTCCTTGTGGCCGTGGCCCGTGTGCACACTGGACACGTTATCAAACTGTGAAGTCGTTCCCTGACGACATTCTCTTGCCTCCCAATCCGTCATAGGAACACCCAACGCGAGTGCCGTGCTTCATGCCACCCGAGCCCAACTTCTCCAGTACAACTCTTCCCCGAGTGACGCAGGGTACTGGGCACACGGCCCAGGGATAGTGTGGGCGGAGGGTCAAACAACAAATCATTCACTCACGCACCAGCAGCAAGACTACTCAAATGCTTTCAGTGAGGGAACTGGATGCATTATCCCAGATGAGAGCGGGAAGGGATTCTGGCAAGAAATTGTGAACTTCCAACTGCCATTTACGAGAGGACCCACAAAAAACGGCCAGAACCGAAGTGTTTTGCTTGCATGCGTGTTCGTAAAGTATGTGAATGTGTATGCTGTGTGTGGTCTTCTTCTGATCTTGCCATTTTCTTTTGCTTTTCAGATTCCCCTCGCTGGGCCACGGGGTGGGTGAGCCAAGGGCAGGAGTTTTTCTGATTCAGCAAGCACTTGAAGTGACATAAGCCACAAGTCCGCTAGGAGATGCTGTATGATCTGTTAATTTGTTGAGGGTCTTTACAATGAGGCGAACAGGCCTTCATGTGCGAGAACAGCGAGAAACCGCAGAAGAAGCGATGCAACGACGACGACAGCAAACCCTACCATGACCAGTTGACAGATAATATCTACAGTATAATATAGACACACACCGTATGCATGGACGTCCCACCTAGGATTCACCGACCCCCGGAAAACATTATACATGCAGCTAATCACGAAAGCTAGCTCCTTGGAGCTTGCGAGAGTTTCTGTTTACCAATATTGTCTCCTGGGCTATGG